CCCCAAAACCCCAAAACCCCGAGAGTGAAGATTAGAATTGAATATGGGTAGATTAAATGAGAATTTCTAATTTAAATTTAAAAAGGATATATCTAATTAGTCAAGCAACACAACCATTACTTAGCTAAACTATTAACACTTACACATTATGCAATAATAAAACTAGTCCCAACAACAATAAAATCAAGAGCAAGCTCTGCTCCAGCTTAACTAGCTGGTCATTGATCATCTTGCTAAATTAGGATATGCCAAGGCTGCTCAAACACTTAAGGTATTTAATTTATCAATGATGAAGATATAACAAACATTGTTTATAGGATGAGATAGTCTAGGCTGCTAAAGCTCAAAAGAAGCCAGGTTAATAGTCAGCTGGTTCTCTCTCAGGTTCGTAGCAGCAAGACCCCTAGATTTTACTCAACAAGCTTTCCAGTTCTTTTGATACTGGCAACAAACACGAATTTTTCGCAGCATGGGAGAAGTTGCTGCCTAAGCAACTGAAAGATAATGACTTCATATGCAAGAAGCTCGAGTTTAATCTGCACATATTCTTTGTTGTCTATGTGATGCATCCTTACAACTAGCATAGACCAGCCACTGAGAAGGAGCTTAGAAAGGAACAGGCTGATTTCAAGCAGTTCTTAGACACTAAAGGCTCAGATTTATCAAAGACTTCTGAGTTTCTTGCTTTTTATGCTCTGCCCTATATTCAAAACCCAATGAGCCATCCTTCCTTCAAGGAGCTATTCACTATGCAATGGGTAGCTGACCTCAAAGGAAAACTAAAGCACTTCATCTAAAGCCACTCACAAGAGATAGGACTGAATACTAACCAGGCTAAGACTCAGCTTTTAGGTATATTCATGCAAGGAGGCTAGAATAAGCAAAGCCAAGCTGCTTAGGATGAGGACGTATATGATAGACTCTAGCAAATGCAAAAGACACTGGTTGTCTTGTAAAAGAAAGAGCAGTATGCCAAGAAGACTTTGCTAGACTCATAGGTAAAATGGACTAATTTCTCTGGGGAGATAGTAAGACATTGCAAAGAACTGATAATTGGTATGGAGTACGCAGGCATGAGATAATTCCTTATTGGATAAAATCAGCCACCAAAGCAGTTGGAGATGATCAAGCAAAGAATCATGAAGTATGATGCCTTTTTGCAAAATAACGCTAGAGAACTCAGTGCTAAAGGAGCCAACATGACTCAGTTTGGAAACTTCAACCAAGCTTAGCAAACTCAACCCTCATTTTTAAGTGATGCTTCTAGTATCTAGCCAAATGATGACGAGTCGATGCTTCAAGGTGGAGATGAGACCTAATAACAGCAGTAATTATTTCTGCAGCAGTAGTAGTAAAGATAAATGATGACTTAGCAGTAGTAGTAATAAGATCAAGATGTTCTTAACAACCTAGCACCTCTAGATTTCGAGAAATTAAAGCAATTCTTTATCGAGTCTCAAGATGAAATCAAGATTTGTGCTACTTTGTAAGCATTAAGATGGAGAATAACAAGAGTCTCAGGTTAGGTCAAGCGTCAGACATTACACACTTACGCTCACTTTGACATTTTAGATGTAACAGTTAATAACAAGGTTGAGAAGAGTGTTTTTGACTACTTGTACTTCAACAGTTCTTCAAAGATCAGAGAATTTACCATGAGCTTCTTAAATGCTCTAGCATCTGAATTCTTAGGACGCTCATATCTTCTTTAGAGACAAGACATAGTTAAGATTCTAGTATCTTCACTTTATGGTGAAGGTAAGGTTGATACCTACTTAAGACAAAATGCCCTTGGTACTTTGTAAAAGTTCTCACTTAGGAAAGAGGCCTAGAATCAGATGATCTAGTTTGATGTGATCAAATGGATAGTTGAAACAATCAGAGATGAACTCGATACATTGTGTGATTACACTTTGGAATACGCAACAGCTTTACTCATGAATTTGTCTTTAAGAGTTGAGGGCAAGAATAAATGCGAGGTAATACCAGGTATCTTAGAGGTTATGAATGAGCTTATTGAAAACGATAATCTCTAGGTAAGAACTCATGTGAATGGCACACTGTACTCTTTACTCACAAGGAAATCACTGAAGTAAATTGCTTTGCAAATGGGAATGAATGAGATGCTTGAGTATTTGATGCAAAATTCAGATGAATAATTCTAGAGACAAATTCAGTACATTTTGAATCAACTTGTGTCAGAGCAGGAAGAAGATAGAGAGGAAAATGAAGTGGAAGATGAGGAAGATGATGAAGATTATGGCGATGAAAATGATGATGGAGCAGATAATGAAGAGGATGGTGAGTACAATGACACTATCAAGTTTGAAGGAGTATTGATAGGAGAAGACTTGCTGACTTCTTAGTTCATCTTACCAACTGATTAAGCGATGACCTAGACTATAACTATCTCAAAGAAGATAGAAGTTATTAAGGAAACCAAACTTAACCACAGTGCTATCTCTGACAGACCAACCACAGGTATCTATGCACCAGATAACCCTTTCAATCTATCCAGAATGGGATACGCCAATCCAAGTGCTGATAGAAACTTACCCTCTGCAATGAAGTCCAGACCTAAGATTTAAAGGACTCCAGATGGTGAAAACTTTGATTCCACTTGGAGAGCAAGATAGTACTAATAGTATAAGCATCAACTTGGCTAGGCTAAGCAATTCTAAATAGACGGTAATGAAGAACTTAAAAGTAACAATATTGATTAGAACCAGCAAGATCTAGCTAATAAATAAAAGTAGGCTTTTAAAATTTATTTCTCTTAAATTTCATTATAGTAACGGTGCCTCATAGTAAAGCAAGAGAGGAATGCAAAGCAGACAGCCACATGGTTAGAATGCATACAATCAACCACCCGAAGAAGTAGCTTTCATGCCTGGCGACAAGATCCCTAGAACTCCTCTTAAGAGAAATTGATTATATTTAATTCAAACTAAGACTCTAATTCTGGAATTCTATGATGAAGGGGTTTTGGGGTTTTGGGGTTTTGGGG